TTAACAAAAGATGGCAAAACATTAAGAACAAGACAAACAATGTAATCATGTCTTATAAAAATTGAAGATAGCAACACACCAAGAATGGGTGCATCACTAGTATGATCACACTCTATAACACCAAAAGTTTAATCCAACGGAGTAGCATTAATAGCTTTAAGTGACATACTTCTTGATTGATAATGGCATGGTATGGTAGAATAAAAAAATGCAATGAAGGTCAAAAGAAAAAATAAATTTAAACACAACAATATTTAAAATTCTAGATCTTGCAAAAAGTTAATACAAATTTAAATCTAAAAAAGAATGAAAAATAAGAATAAAAAGCACGATTCTAAACACTAGAGTAAAGCACTGCCAAAAAGCTTTACCCTTCAAGCACTGCTAAAAAACTTTGCCCTTCAAAGATAAATTGCAATATCTTTCATCTCCAAATGTAAATACTTAGAATAGGTATATTAATTAGGGTTTAGACCCTTGCTTATATACAAGAATGGATGGACTATATTTAATCTTAAATGGATGGTTTATATGCTATAATACTATAATTAGTATATTACCAAGCCAAGGTAATACATATGTATGTGTGTGTGTATCTATATATATATACATATATATACATATATATATAGGTATATATACATATATATACATATGTATATATATATATATATATATGTATGTATGTATGTATATATATGTATGTTATATATGTGTATGTATATGTATGTATGTATGTATGTATATATATATATGTATATTTATATATATATATATGTATATATATATATATATATATATATATATATATATATATATATATGTATGTATATATATGTATGTATGTATGTATTTACAAACCTCACAACTCTATTCAAATTTATATAAAGTATATCTATTTATTATAATACTAGAATATGTCAAAATGGATTAATTGTTAGCATATCTTAATGATTCCGATTTAATTTCCTACATTACTTGCATAATTGGCCATGTAGTTTAAAATGATAGTAACTCAATATCAAAAGTATAATTTGTCAAAAAAAATGATTACCTTGTCACTATTGAAGCATGCTTTTTTTTTTCTCTTATATTAAATTTGATATTGCATTTAAATTTTTTTTAACTTATATACTTATAATGCCTACAAAATCTATACAAATTTAAATGAGATATTTAATTTTACACTAGGACAGCAACAATTGACCAATGCCTTTCATGGGTGTGTAACTTTTAAATACTTTATGTTAACTATGGTGTAGTGGCGTGGCAAGCATGACATTCCATAGAGGAGTTAAAGTAGAGGAATCAAACTTGTCAATCAATCTCAGTTGAGCTTAAACTCTAGGCAAAAAGGTAATTTGGAAACAAAAGTAAAGGATGTATTGTCAATGTAGGTTAGTTTGACTTGATTGCTAGAAAAATCACTGAATGTTCCTGTAGGACCAATCTTGAAGCTGGGGCTGTGAACACTAATGAGCCAGTGAGCTAGTCTTATACTTGGTGACCAGGCACTAGAAGTGTTCCTTCCACTCCAAATAGTGATGGAAAAAACTGGAGTCTAAACATAAGTTAAGAAGAAGAGAAAATAGAAAAAAGAGCATAGAGAACTAAATCAAATTGAGATTGGAAAACTTTGAATAAGTTTAACAATAAATTATTTCAATTAATAAATTCTTCACCAAAGCTGGATTGTCTTTAGATCCATCAGCTTTATAATTATTAAATATTTTTTTCTAAACCAAAGTTTGCATACATTACTCCAAACCACAACAAAATCTTACTTGTCCTTATGCCTTGACAGCCAGCTCATTTGGGCCCATCAGTTCAATTGCTCCCACTCAAAATATAAACTTGGTGAGGCATTAGCAAAAACACAAGTAAATAATTAATTGGTTTGCTTAAGCAAATCTGTAAGGGAGTAGGATGGTACCTAAAATATATCTGGATATTCTAGGATATTCTAGGATATTCTATAATCTCATGGTTCTTATTCATTTAGATTAATTTTATATTTATAATTTATAAACTTTCTTAAACACTTTCTAGTATATTATTTTTTATTCTGGTTGATATGAAATACGTTTAATCTTGTGTTTATAAATTAGAAACATGCTTATAATTATAAACTTTGATTTGATCAATGGGATTAATAAGTAGGAATAACACTATTATTAAGCAAACCAAGCATTGCTACATGCAACACATAGCAGAAAATTTTATAGCTATAACTAGATTTAAAACTAAATAAGTATAATAAATATCCTCACATATTCTATGTATATAGGTTAGTTTAAGAAAATCAAAAGCCAAACTATTGATCATATTACATAGAAAATTTAAACCATCATATGTTAAATTAATTAAGTTTTTCTCTCTCTAGCATTTTAAGTAATCTACTTAACAGACCATTGTATAAGCTATAGCAAATATTATACTAGCCATATTATGTGATAGCTACTAGAAGGTTGTCTTGAAGTCCATAATTTCCTATTAAGCAATTTCTGGTTGTTGAGCTGAATTTCCAATAGAAATGAAAGCTTGCGTTGTGATAAAAGAGATCTCACTTGTTTTCCTAGGCTTGGTTGGCATCACTGAAAGAGTTTCTTATAATCATAAACTTTATTTGATCAATTGGATTAATAAGTCAAATAAAAAAACCATAAGTTATAAAACCACAAAACCATAAAACCATAATAATATTTTTATTCTCTACACATTGCAAATTGCAAGAGATCTGAATTGCTTTGGTTTCTGCAAACAAGTGACAGGTTAGATGCAAGAACTACTTTCAACAAAAAGAACCTATTGAAGGGACCTTATGAGAACTTGACTTAAAGAAGCAGGTCTCATCAAAGGATGAGAATTTGCATGAATAAGTATTCTTGAGTATTTTAGAAATACTAGATACAATATACTTGAATATTTTAAGAATATTTACTACACCGTTTCTAATGTTCTAATCTAAAAAGGAATCCTTCCAGAATATCGATAAAGTTGACTTTGACTAGGCTTGTCAAAGGAAAAAAGAAATGATTCTTTCACGCGCATTCGTCGCCGGAAGTAGAATGGTCAGCGCGCGGGGAGAAAAAGTCTATGATTTCGCGTTTCCAATGTCCACGAATAACATAAGCGTGTCAACACCAATATCCAACAAAGTATGTGGGCGTCCATTGTCGGCTTGCGATCATTACCTCCATGATCCATCCGAGACCATGTAGCTTTCTTAAAAAATAACGAAATTGTCCGAAGATATGGTGGAATCTAAGAAGAAACTCACGAGAAATGTCGGCATGGTGAGACTGTACAAACCAAATAGTATCTCTTTGCGAGTATATATAACCTGAGATGAATTCGTCGAGAACACCAAGCAAAGCAAGCTTCCAAAGTCTTTCGCAAGAGAAGAGAACGAGAAAAGTCTCCATCGATCACCATTATGGCCAAGAGTTGGTCTTCATCTCCATTCCAAAGCTTGATCATCTTCCTCTTTCTAGTATCGATGTGTGGAATGGCTTTTGGTCAGCACCACATTCTATGCCTCGACTTGCCCAAACCTGGTCCAGATCGTGAGCGGAGTCGTGAGGCGAGCAGTGGCGAGCGAGCCTCGCATGGCGGCCTCGCTCCTTCGGCTACACTTTCATGATTGTTTCGTCCAGGGCTGCGACGCATCGCTGCTGCTCGACGACGCCTCGGGATTCACCGGGGAGAAATCCGCGCTTCCCAATCAAAACTCTGTGCGTGGATTCAATGTCATTGACAACATCAAGACCGCAGTGGAGAGGCAGTGTCCCAACGTCGTCTCGTGCGCTGATATTGTCACGCTCGCAGCTAGAGAAGGCGTCACAGCGGTAAGAGATCGAGTGGCCTCCTTGCTTCAATGTTTTCATGGGGTGTTCTAGTGTGGTAGTCTTCCTTACGCAAAGTTCTAGGAGTGTTCTAGCTTTCTCGCTTCTTTCTCTTGTTCCTTGAAGCTCTCGACTTGATATTCCTTGATCTTCCTGTTTCCTTGACTATAGATCTCAATGCTAATGTTTGTGAGCCGTGCTATATAGTTGCAAGGCCCATCTTGGCCCGTGGTTTTGGGACGCAGAGACAGCACCACCGCAAGCCTCTCTTCCGCAAACAACGATATCCCAGCGCCAACATCCAGCGCCTCGCAGCTCCTCTCCAAGTTCCAAGCCAAGGGACTCTCCGCCCAGGACCTGGTCGCAACATCCGGCGGCCACACAATCGGCCAGGCACGCTGCGTCACCTTTCGGGACCGCCTCTACAACTTTAGCAACTCGGGCCGCCCGGATCCAAACCTCAACGCGCTCTTCCTCTCGCGCTTGCAGCAGCAGTGCACGCAATCCTCCGCCTCGGACAACAACCTCTCGCCCCTCGACGTGAGGAGTGCCAACGTTTTCGACAACGCTTACTTTGTCAACCTGCAGTTCAACAGGGGGCTCCTCAACTCGGACCAGGTGCTGTCCGCTGGCAGCACGCAGGCCCTGGTGAACGCATACGCGGGCAACAACCGACGCTTCTTTGCGGACTTTGCGTCAGCTATGGTGAATATGGGCAACATTAGTCCTCTCACCGGCAGCGCGGGTGAGATCCGGAAGAGCTGCCGTGCCAGAAACTAAGAACTAGATTCCATAACCTTGCACTTAGTACAATAGCTATCCAGAACAGCTTGAAAGTTCACAAAAAATTTGTTCACTTTCATATACAAAACTCATTCTGTCCAAGAGATACCAATGTTGCTCTAGTGAAATTTCACCTTCCAAGTTATAGTTGGCAAGAGATTCATAATCTTTGACACATTATGTTACAAAATGCTGTACAATATGTACGGACACTAAGCGTTTTGTACCATTCCGTACAAGAGATTATTTATCGCGTTGGATTCTTTGAGCTGTCAGAATAAAACTCAAATTTTCCAGTCCGTGCCGTGTACGGATGGTTTTTTATAAACCTCACTCGCAGCTCTGAAAGCCCTAGAAAATGATGGACGCGCGCGGGGGATTCATGGAGGATTTCGGGCAGAAGGTGGACCTCACGCAGCGGATCCGCGAGGTGCTGCTCAACTATCCCGAGGGGACGACCATCCTCAAGGAGATGATCCAGAACGCGGACGACGCGGGAGCGAGCCAGGTGTGTTTCTGTGTGGATCGCCGCCGCCACGCCGTCGATTCCCTCGTCTCGCCGCCGCTAGCGCAGTGGCAAGGCCCCGCCCTCCTCGCCTACAACAATGCCGCCTTCACGGAGGAGGATTTCCAGAGCATTTCCAGGATTGGCGACAGCAAGAAGCGCGGCCAGGCGTGGAAGACTGGCCGATTTGGGTAAGAAATTTCCTCTTCCAAGATGCGCTTCTTTCTAAGCGAGCTTGTGGTTTCTAGGATTGGATTTAACTCCGTGTACCATCTCTCGGATCTGCCATCGTTTGTGAGTGGCAGTCACGTCGTCTTCTTCGATCCGCAGTGCCAGTTCTTGCCGAGTGTATCGTCGCTAAATCCTGGCAAACGCATTGACTTTGTCGCTTCCACGGCTCTCGAGAACTTTCCCGACCAGTTCTCGCCATACTGTGTTTTCGGCTGTGACATGCGACGTCCTTTCGGAGGTACTCTCTTTAGATTTCCATTGAGGTCTGCCGAGCAAGCCGCCACCAGCAAGCTTTCCAAGCAGTCGTATACTTCCACTGACATGCTGGAGCTTCTCCGCGATTTATATCACGAGATTGTACAGGTGATGCTCTTTCTCAAGAACGTCGAACGCGTGGAGTTTTACGAGTGGAGCGCCGGTTCTAGCTCCCCGACTCTGCTTTACTCGTGTGCCGTGAGGCTGCCAACTTCCGAGATAAGATCGCACAGGCAGCTGTTTCTGAGGCTTTCCAAGGGAAAAGACGCTGCTGCTAGCGAAGAAACGAAGGATGTTTTCAGATTGGAGCTGGTTACCAATGCTTACACAGGGGCTGACAGCGGCAAGGAAAGTTTGAGCTCGTTTCTTATCTCGCAAGCTATGGGGTCTTCCGCTAGCAGAATTGGTGCTCTGGCTACAAATGCTTTCAAGAGTTATGGCCTGCGTCTTCTTCCTTGGGCATCAGTTGCTGCATCTATTTTACCCGGTAAGGTCAGTATATATTGTCTACTTGTTTTGAGAGAAATGATCTAACCACCTTTGTAGGAATGGAGGTCGAAGGTCGCGCGTTTTGCTTTCTTCCGCTTCCTATAAAAACCGGGATGCCGTTTCACGTCAACGGATACTTCGAGCTCTCGGCAAATCGACGAGATATATGGCACGGTTCCGACATGGACAGGATGGGAAAGCTTCGCTCAGATTGGAACCAGTGCGTTTTGGAGGATGTTGCGGCACTGTGTCTGCGACAGCTTCTTCTGGAAGCTCGGAAGCTTGGCCCGGGAGCCACGTACAGTTCTATGTGGCCACTGGGAAATTCGGGGGCTCCGTGGATCAAACTCGTGCAGCACTTTTATCGGAGCATTGCCGCAGAGCCACTTCTTCATTCCAGAGTTGCAGAAGGGAAATGGTTGTCACCAATGGGAGTTCTGTTCCACGACGAAGAGTATGAGAAGGCCGAGGTACTGGCTGACGCACTTGTAGCGGATGGTTTGCCTCTTGTCCGTTTGCCGAAGCCGCTAAGAGACGCAGTCTTCAAGTTTTGCGATGCCGAGTTTAAAGTCGTCACACCATTTTCTGTGAGGACTCACTTCTTGAAGAGCAAGCGACAGAAGGGCCCAGCAGAGAGGTCTCATCTCTTTGCAATTCTCGACTACTGCTTATCGGATCTCGTAGACGAAGAAGCAGCAGAACATCTGAGAAGACTCCCTCTCGTTCCTTTACAAAGTCTGGGAACAGGACGGTTTGCCTTAAAAGGCGAGGAGTGCTCATATTTTTTATGCACCGCCTTGGAGATCAGGCTGTTCAAAGGTATACCCGACAAGCTTGTCGACGAAAATCTTCCTCCCGGGCTGGTTGCGAGGCTCAACAACATTGCAAGAACAGGTCGGAGCAATATTTGTTTGATTGACGATACAACTTTGGCCGAGATTCTGCAGTACGTACTACCTCCTGAATGGAAGAATGGTGGTGAGGTACGTTGGCAGCCTGGGCTTAGAAAGCAGCCTTCGAAAGAGTGGCTTGGTTTTTTCTGGGAGCATCTCGCTGCTCAACAACGAGATTTATCGAAGTTGCAGCAGTGGCCAATACTACCAACGACCACAGGGACGTTACGAAGGCCTGTCCGTTTCTCGGGGATTCTCAAAGGCGGCAAGATAAGCAGCAGTTTGGAAGGTGTTTTCATCAAAGCTGGCTGCTTGTTCTTGGACACGCAGGTGACGCTCGACCATCCTCAGCTGTCGAGATATGTTCTTGATCCCACTGTCGCGGAAGTTTTGGATGCCATTGGATTCAGCGCCGCTAACAATCTCTCAAAACTTGCAGAGAGTTTTACTGCTCTCTCTGGTTTGGAAAGGAGAGAACTCAGGGCTTTTCTATACGACGTGTGCTGGGGTAGCAGGAATGAGATGAACGAGTCTCGTCTACAGATATTCAAGACGCTACCGATATTCGAGGCCTACCGTGATTTGGGAACAAGGGATCTGGTTTTCGTTTCCTTAGAAGGTGGTAAGAAATTCTTGCCACCTAGTGGAGTGGACGAGACACTCTTGGGACCGGACTGTTTGCATTCAAGTGGCTCACGGGAGCACGAAGTTTTGACGCAGCTGCTAGATGTCATGCAACTCAAGAAGGCAGATTTTTTCAAATGGAGGATACTGAGCGACATAAGTAATCTTCCTACAGAGCTGCGGGACCTGTCAATGCTTCAAATTCTTCGTGAACTTCCGGAGCTAAGTGTCGAAGATCGTTCTCTCGTCGGTATTCTCAAGAAGCTCTCGTTCGTGCCTACCGGAGCCGGCAAGCTTCGAGCGCCAGATGCTCTTTACGACCCAGAGATTCCGGAGCTTGTGAGCATTTTGGACAGCCAGCAGTTTTTTCCATCCCCCGACTACTCTAGTCCCGACGTCCTTCAGAGTTTGCGCCATCTGGGACTGAGAAGTAGCGTCACTCCAGACACTATACTGGCCAGTGCCCGAGCTATCGAGGGGCTCTCGGCAAGTGTTCCTGACCAGGCAACTTTACGAGGGCGTGTTCTACTGTCGTACCTCGACAAGAACGCAAGCAAGTGGCTGCAAGAAGCAGGAACCAACTGGATACTTTCAATTCTCCAAGGCGAAAAGGACTCTACACTGTCGAAGTTTTGGAGTGAACTGGCCAACATATGCTGGTGCCCGGTGCTACTGGAGCCACCTCACGATCAGATGCCTTGGCCAGTGGTGTCACAGTCTTTAGCACCACCAAGGCTAGTGAGGCTGCCTTCCGATATTTGGCTTGTCTCGGCGACCATGCGAATTCTAGACGGACAGTGCGACTCTCCAGGATTATGTCAACGTCTTGGATGGAATTCCAAGCTAAGTGGCAATATACTGGCTGCTCAGCTACTGGAGCTTGGAAAAGGTGACAACTTCAAGCTGAGGAAAATTCTAGCTACAACTGTTCCGAAGATCTACTCTATGCTGAGCGATATGTTGGGAAGTGATGAGATGGAAATTGTCAAGGCCATTCTCGAAGACCGTTCCTGGATATGGGTTGGAAGCAGGTTCGCAATGGCCAGGGAAGTTGTTTTCGATGGAGCTTTGCACTTGACTCCTTATCTTCACGTCGTTCCAGCTGATCTCGCTGCTTTCAAGGAGCTTTTTTTGGAACTTGGGGTGAAGGAATCGCTAGACCCGGCAGGCTACAGTACGATCCTTGCTGTTATTGCAAGTGAGAAGTGTGGAGATCCCTTGGACTCTCGGCAACTAGCTGCGGCTATCTGGATCGTACAACATCTAGCAGACACGAACTTTGGCGAGCAGGGGAAGGAAATTGTTATTCCAGACTGCGATGGCATCCTCTTGCCGTCGTCTCAGCTTGTCTACAACGATGCCCCCTGGCTCGTGGCCTCCAAGGACATTCCAAACAAGAAGCTAGTGCATTCGAAGATTTCCAACGACGTCGCTGAGAAAGTTGGTATCGCTTCCGTTCGAGAGTCGCTGCTTGCCAAAAGTGCCGACTTCGTGGACCTGGGACTGCATGGTGGTATGGAAGCCTTTGGACAGAGTGAGTCGCTGACAAGCCGGCTAAAACACATCGTAGAGATGTATGCGGACGGACCTGGGACGCTGTTTGAGCTGTTGCAAAACGCAGATGATGCCGGTGCCACGGAAGTGAGCTTTCTCCTCGACAAGTCTTCCTTCGGCACAAACTCCGTCCTCTCCCGGCAAATGGCTGACTGGCAGGGGCCAGCTCTCTACTGTTACAACGATTCCGTTTTTAAGCCGGAGGACTTCTATGCAATATCACGCATCGGCCAGAACAGCAAGCTCGACAAGCCGTCCGCCATTGGGAGATTTGGCCTTGGCTTTAACTCTGTCTACCATTTCACCGACGTGCCAAGCTTTGTCTCAGGTTCAACGATTGTGCTGCTTGATCCACACGCTGGTAACCTTCCAGGCATCTCTCCTGCTCAACCGGGTTTGAAGATTAACTTCGTTGGCAAGGAACTGCTCAAACAGTTCCCTGATCAGTTTGAGTCTTTCCTCCTCTTTGGATGCGACCTCCAGAAGCCTTTTCTAGGCACTCTATTCCGTTTTCCGCTGAGGACAACAGTGACTGCTGCTCGGAGCGAAATAAAGCAGGATCCGTATCAACCTGAGGACGTCGTCACACTTTTCTCGGCTCTCAAGAAGTCTGCTGGCGAAGTTTTGCTGTTCCTCCGGCATGTAACGTCGATAAAGCTGTACGTACGTGACGGTTTACATGCCGAGGCTCAGGAGATATTCAAGGTTCACAGGGAAAATGCTGATTACCAGGAAACCAGCCTCTACGAGTTTGTCACTGGTAACACCCGGCAGAAATACGACAAGGAACAGTTTGTGAAGCGACTGGAAAAAACTGCAGACAAGCAGCTGCCTTGGTGTTGCGGGAAGATCAGGATAGAGGTAGCAGCTCCGGATGACAACTCTTCCTCGTCCTGGCTTATATGTAGCTCCGTTGGTGGAGGGAACGCAAAGGAGTTTGCCATATCGCCAGCTAACCGAAGCAGAGGATTCGTTCCATGGGCTGGGATTGCTGCCAGGATGTCCGAAGATGGCAGCAATGAAGTCAAAGAAGATGAAAGAGGTCCAGTGTCCGTGGAGGGCCGAGCATTTTGTTTCCTGCCTCTCCCGGTTGTCGTCGGGCTTCCAATACACGTAAATGGCTACTTCGAACTATCTGCAAATCGGAGAGATATATGGTATGGTGGTGACATGGTTGGAGGAGGAAAGCTCAGGTCGCAGTGGAACAGTTTTCTTCTTCAGGATGCAGCAGCTCCTGCGTATGCTCGGCTTCTTCATCGTGCTTCTCGCGAGCTGGGACCTTCTGCGAGTTATAGTTCACTGTGGCCAACTCAGAGCGTTGGAGAGCCATGGAAGCAGCTAGTTACGCAGGTTTATAAAGCTGTGATCGACTTGGAGGTGCCTGTTTTGTTCACAACGTTAAGAGGTGGCAAATGGATCTCTGCGAAACAGGCCGTGTTCCCAGACTTTTCATTCCCGGAGATGACCGAGCTTGGCAATGCTCTTGTGGAAATTGGCCTTCCATTGATATCAGTCCCTGAAGCCGTGACTACGAGGTTCCGAGAAGTGTGCCCGTCCTTGAAGTTTTTCTCGCCTCGTCTTCTACAAAGGCTGCTGATCGCCAGCAGACGAACTTTAGAGAGGCGGATCAGCATTCTGGCTCTGAAGTACTCCCTCTCTGATGTCCAGAGCTCAGCGGATGAAAGCAAGCTATATGGCTTGGCCTTGGTTCTTCTATCAGATGGTTCGTTTGGAACGCTCAACTCAAGATCTACTGGGGAGAAGATTATATTAGCAGGTGGAGACGATCACAGGCTACTTAAAGATGCTCTCCCACACATGCTCGTGGATCCTGAAGTGGGAGAGGACATATCCCTCAAGATGACAGACATGGCTGCGAATGCCGTATCAAATGTTTACGTGATGACTCCTCTCATTCTCCAAGAGCTTCTTCCTCTGGTGCTACCACTGGAGTGGAGTGGACAGGATATCGTTACGTGGACTCCCGGTACTCGTGGTCATCCAAGTACCGATTGGATGCTTCTCTTCTGGCACTACATCGCTCGTCATCGTGAGAGCTTATCGAACTTTGAGAGCTGGCCTCTCTTACCGACAACAGATGATAAGCTTGTGAGGTTGTACAAGGGTGGCTCGATCATCGTCAATGATGGATGGAGCGAAAACATGACCAGTCTGCTCCAGAAAAGTGGCTGTTTCCTACTGAAAGGTGACCTTCCAGTGCAGCTGCGAGACCACGTACAGGCTGCAAGTGCACACGGCATCCTCCTTGCCTTTTTCGCGGCAGCCGGAGGAAACTTAAAGATGGTGCCAACTTTGCTCAGGGACTGCTCGGCATTTGAAGTGAGGGAGCTCAGGCATTTTTTGTTTCAAGAGAAATGGTTTGCTCTGGGACAGATGGACGCTGTGCAGCTCCAAGTGCTCAAGATGTTGCGCCTGTTTGAAAGCGGAGGGGACTTCATTTGTATAGCCGAGTCCGAGCAGCTGATTGCGCCCGACGGGATCGATGGACAGCTGCTTGCAGATATGTTTATTCAAGCTGAGACTGGGAAAGAGGAGCACATTTTGCAAACGTACCTCGGCTTGAAGAAGGTGGACAAGAAAGACTACTTTGCAAGCTACTTCGTCGACTGTATCAAGCAAGTCTCGGAAGGTGACAGGATGAAAGCCTTCCTAAAAGTCTCGAAGGAGTTGGCTCTGTTCATCGGAGAAATGGAGGAGGCTGCTCTTGCATCGTTATCTCAACTTGCTTTCGTGCCAACAGGATCGAATGCTATCGAGGCACCTGAGAGGTTTGCCATTTTTTTTTCCTTCTTTGATTTCTCTTAACACGCATGGCTGTCCAGGCTTTACGATCCCAGGATTTCGGAGCTGCTGACGCTCCTTGACAGAAAAGCATTTTTTCCGGCCCATGAGTTTCAAGCGGCTGATCTACTAGACGTACTGGTTGTCCTGGGCCTCAGAAAGTCACTTAAACAGGAAGGTCTCTTGGACAGTGCTCGATCGGTCGGAATGATCAGTGCCACGGACGATTCCGAAGCAAGTCGGAGGGGAAAGGCGTTACTTGCTCATATGGATGGCCTTGCAGTCAGTGACGAGTCCGTGCCAGTGGTTGGGACGAGCTTATCTGACATAGACTCTCACTTCTGGGTGGAACTTTCAAGCATCAGCTGGTGTCCTGTCCGTGGAACGTCTCCGAATCAACTTCTTCCTTGGCTACCTGGACAATTGCCACTCGTCGCATCTCCAAAGCTTGTGCGGCCAGCGTCAGATATTTGGCTTGTTTCGGGAGCAATGCGGATTCTTGATGGCGATTGTAGCTCGTTTCTTCGGGAGAAGCTTGGGTGGACTCAGACACTCAAGGCCAACGTGCTAGCTCATCAGCTTATAGAACTCTCCAAACGCTATAGCAGGGATGTTTTGGACGAAGAAACGACCTTGACATTATCAAGCAGTGTGAAAGACATTTACAAACTTCTCCAGGGATTTTCCAAGTCCGACGAAATGCTGATCATTCAGTCGATGGTGGAAGGACACGCCTGGTTGTGGATTGGTGACGGTTTCATCCGTGCCAAAGAGGCAGCGTTTGATTCACCGGCACACTTCTATCCTTACCTTCACGTCCTGCCGGTCGACTTTCTCGAGTTTAAGGAGCTCTTTACAAAGCTGGGCGTACGCGAAACATTTTCTGCCGGTGACTACGTCAGTATCCTTGAACGTGTAGCTGCCGACGTCAAAGGTGACGCTCTCAGCCCGGAGCAGCTTACGTTCGTTTTAAGTGTTCTGGGGACTCTGTCGGAAGTTCTTGAAACAGCTGACCGCTCCATCTACGAGTCGATACTGATCCCGGATGCTGCTTCACAGCTCGTTCCTGCGAAGGCTCTAGTGTACAACGATGCGCCGTGGCTCAGTGAAGATGGCTCACAAGCCGGTGGCCTTAGGCTGGTGCATCCAGACGTTGACAACAATCTGGCGAGGCAACTTGGAGCAAGGTCGCTCCGTTACTTGTCAGTGGTGGATCAAGAGATGACGAGCAGCTTGCCATGCCTTGGGATTGGCAAGATAAACGAGCTGCTTGCGAAGTTTGGCGCTGGTGGCGATGAAGAGATGCTGCTTTTCGATCTTCTTGAAGTGGCAGATTGTTGTCAAGCTCGAAAGGTGCACTTCGTATATGACCAGACAGACCATCCTAAACAGTCGCTTCTACAGCCAAACATGAGTAAGACTTTGTGACAAGAATGTTTGGATCTAACTTCGATTGCTTTCTCTGTTGCAGGCGATTTTCAAGGACCAGCATTGCTTGTTGCTTTTGAAGGCGTTAACTTGACAACGGAGGAAATATGCTCACTTCATACAAGTCCACCTGTTAAGTTCCATGGACGAGCATGCAGATATGGAACTGGCTTGTTTGGTTCTTACCAAATAACTGATCTGCTGATGGTGATATCCATGGGCTGTCTATATCTTTTCGATCCATCTGGTCAAGTACTGGCGCCAGCTCTCGCAGATGGGAGGAAAGATCCAACAGGAAATCCCATTGGAAAGGCATTTTCTTTGCAAGGTATGCAAACTTTGTCCTTTAAACTTCTCTCGTAATATCTTTGGTCTTCTTCTAGGTACTGGTCTCTCCGAAAGGTTCAGCGACCAATTTCATCCTTTCAACTTAAATGAGGAACTCTCGTTGGATTCTACTAGTGTTACATTCTTTCGCTTGCCTTTGCATCCTGGAAAGGCCAACATAGCTGAGAAGGTTCCAAATATGTTTCATAGTCTCAAGAAATACGCTTCAACCAGCATACTGTTTTTGAAATCTGTGGAAAAGGTAAAGTTCTTGAAATTTTCTTTTTAGTGTGCTGATGTTTCTTTAGGTGGTGATATCGGAACAAACCATTATTGAGCCTTTTCATGAAGTTTTCTCAGTGTCCGTAGGCTCTGCATTTGCAGCACTTCGTCATCCTTTTCAGGAAAAGAATTGGCGGAAGTTTCAACTCTCAAATTTCTTTGGCAGCTCGAACACCGTGACAAAAACTCATACGATTGATGTTTTTCTGAAGGAAGATGGCAACACAAGAATGACAAAATGGCTAGTTGTCCAAAGTTTATCTTCTGGACAAACTCGAGACATGGCCTTGGACAGGTAGCTACGTACATTCTATTCCTTGTGTATACTCATCTTAAGTCGTTGTCTTGCAGGAGATACTTACATTATCAGCTTACTCCTATCGCTGGTGTTGCAGCATGTATTTCCGTCGACGGCCGAATGATAGAAGAAGCAGTATGCTCCCATAACTCTATACTGTGTCCTCTTCCAGTGACTCTCAACTTCAACATACCGGTTACAATTTTTGGCAACTTTTTACCGTTCACGGCTGGCGGTCGGTACTGCTTTGACGAATCGCTTGGGGAGTATCCCGTCAAAGTTGGAATGCTAGGATCACACTCTGGGCCCGGATTCTCGGACGATATCCTCCGAGCTACATGGAACCGACAGTTACTTTCCTGCGTTTCTCACTCCTACATCGAGTTGCTGCAAGAACTTCAACACCTGCAACTTATTGGACAGGCGGGTAGCTCCGAAGGAAGCAGCAGCTGGAGTTTCTATTCACTTTGGCCACGATCTGCAGCTGCTACTAGTTCCAATGATTCTCGGTGCTTGGCAAAATGGCTGATCAAGCCTATGTACGCAAGGCTGGTGGATATGCCTCTATGGGAGCTACATGGGGGAAGCGGCATGGTAAAATACAGTGATGGTGTTTTCGTTGCTCCGTCTGGGCAGGGAGTCGCACCAAAGGCATCGGTTTCCGACTTTCTGAAATCTCACCACCGGATATTTACAGTTCCTTGGGAGCTTGGAAAGGAAGTGGAAGGAGCTGTTGGCGTGCCAATGAAGGAGCTCAAACCGCAAGCTTTGAGAGCTCTAATGAAAGTGCCGTCGGTAGCAGCTGCCGTTCAGTCTCTTACCACTCAGATCGATCTTCTCGAGTATTGCTGCATGGATGCAGTCCAGCAAAGTTTTGACGTGACAACAGAGGGTGGAGTTCCTGACGACTTGGAACTCAGTAACACGGTCTTGGCCGAGCTGAAAGGTGTAACATGTCCCACGGCGAATGAGTTTATGGTTAAGCTAGGGACGCTGGAAGTCTGGGTGGCAAGTCGAGAGGAGCAACTTCTCCTTCCTGCGTGCATGAAGAGGTTTCTACACCCTTTGTGCTTGGAGCGGCCTCTTCTGGCGGCATTATTCTACAACAAGGCTTTCCAGCGTCGCATGAACTTGAGACCGTTCTCGCCACAAGTTATAGCCGCGAACATATGGACAGTTCTTCCAAGAAGCTGGGCCTCGGCTTCAACTCCTTCAGTGGACTGGAACCAACAGGAACCTTCAGCAGAATGGATACGAAATTTATGGACCAACGTCGATCCTACTTCTGTCGAGGACTTATCACTTCTCTCCGCAATGCCGCTTATTCCTGCAACGATTGACTCGAGAAACGCTCTAGTGCGTGTTGGACAAAGCAAGCTTACATTTGTTCCTCCTCTCACGTTATCAACCGACGAGGAAACGAATGGTGATTTCTCGAAGGCATGCGCCAGAGCTTTGGCCGAGGTTGACGAGGGATATCCCTGGCTGGTCTCCGTTCTAGGCAAGCTCGGCGTTCCAGTATACCACAGTGACTTTACGGACTGCCGTGCTTTACAATGTTGCCTTTCTGAGCCGGGGAACCCACTGGTAGATATAGTCGTCTCTAAGTTCCTTGCGCTCGAGCAAGCTGGTTTTTGGCTTGCAAGAGAGGCATCTCTATCCCCAGACGAATGCAAGGAGCTCTACGCTTTGGTGGCAACAGTGGCTTTATATCACGATCCAGATGAAAATTCACTGTCGAGCCAGGAACTCTCGTTGCTACAGTCGCTTCCAATCTATGAAACCATCCGAGGCAGCTACGTAAAAATCGATCCAGCAGTTTACTATACGGTTTCTTCCGAGACTTTCATACAACCTGACGATGAGCACCGCTTGTCCGGGCGAGGAGACGCGTTTTATCAACTGTTGGGAGTTCCAAACCTTGGAAATACTGGAATACTTGTTCGGTATGCCTTGCCAAACTTCAACCAGCTAAGTAGCAGCGAGCAGGAAGCAGTGATGGCTTACGTCTATCGAGACTGGGATAACATTAAGGACTCTGCCGTGGTCAACGCCTTGAGATCTACAAAGTTCGTCACCTCGGCATCGACCGTTCCTACCAACTTAAGTTCTCCACAAGAGCTCGTTGATCCAGAAAACGTTCTACTCAAACAAATCTTCGCGGAGGAACGCTCAAGGTTTCCGGGTGGCAAGTTTGGAACTTCGCGATGGCTACATATATTACGTCGCTGCGGTCTGTGCTCACTCAAGGATCCAGCATTGATCTTGGAGTGTGCTAAAAAGATCGAAGAACTTGGGAAACGGGATTTACACTCGGATCGATTAGCTATACTGAAAATTGAGACCAACGGATCCAGTCGGAATGTCTCGGATGCAGTTTGGTCGATGGCAGGCATGCTGGTGGAAGAGATTATGAACAACTTTGCCGCGGTCTACAACAGCAACTTCTGTGATAAACTTAGTAAGATTGCGTTCGTTCCAGCAGAGAATGGGATTCCAAGCGTAGCTGGAGGAAGTCCGAACCGGGTACTTGCGTCCTATAACGAAGCTATCTTGGTGAAAGATTGGCCGCTCGGATGGACTTGCTGTCCTGTGCTCTTTCGACCGAACTCAGTGCCTCCACAGTTCGCTTGGGGAGCTCTTCACTTAAGAAGTCCACCACTAATCTCAGTGGTCATTCGACATCTTCAGGTGGGCTCATCAACGAATTTTTTGTTCTTTTCTTGCTCCAGCTGATAAAGTTCGATTTTTTTCTATTCAGGCTGTTGGACAAAATGGTGGCGAGGACGTTCTTGCGAGATGGCCAAATGGCAAAGGCTCAAGATCTGTTGAGGAGGTTTTTGGCGAGGTGCTCTCCTACTTGAGCACTGCCTGGGATGGGCTCTCGGATTCAGGTGTGTACACACTGGTTCTCTACAGAGTCTTATATTTTCTCTTGCAGATAAAAAGGAACTGTCACTCCATGCTTTTATACCAGTCGCGAATGGTACCCGTCTTGTAACAGCGAGCTCTCTGTACACAAGACTGGGCATGGATCTTGCTCCCTACATTTTCGAGGCTCCAAGAGCTTATCTTTCATACGTGGACATCCTTTCGGCTCTTGGGATGCATTACGACCCAACGGTTCCAGCAATGGTAGCTCTCCTTGTCCAACTCCAGCAAACAAGCGGTTTTCACCACCTCAACCCCAACGAGCTTCAAGCCGTGCTTTCGATCTTGCGTTTCATCTGGGAGACCTCAAAGAAAAGCGACTTACGCACTGTAGACGTTGTTGTTCCCGACGAGACCGCAAGGCTGGTCCATGCCAGCGCTTGTGCTTATGTTGACGCTGCTGGAGCCCGTTTGGTCGAAAATATAGACACGACCAAGCTGAGGTTCGTGCATCCGAGCCTTCCGGTGGCGCTCTGTGACGTGCTGCATGTGAAGAAGCTCTCAGAGGCTGTTCTTGAGGTAAGCTTGCTATTCAATTTCTGTTATAGAATTGATTTCCTGTCGATGGTCGTAGGAAATTGATGACTCGGAGCCTCTGGAGTATGTGGATTCTCTTGGTGAGTATTCACTGTCGGCCGTGAAGGCTCAGCTTGGGAGCAAAGCTTTTGCGTGCTCGGTCCAGTCCTTACTCCGTGGACCGCACCAAATCACCGAGCAACATATCTTGGATACTCTCCAAGCAGCCTGCGAGAAACTTAAGTTCGTCAGACGACTTCGCACAAGGTTTTTGCTGGTACCGAGTCTGAAAGATATTACTCGAGCGGGCCAGCATCAAGCTTTTCTCTTCATCAGCCGATCACAGACCACCCTCCTCGTAGCCGAACCGCCAACTTTTATTGCTCTTCCGGATCTACTCGCAGTTCTTGTCAGCCGGCTTCTGGAGTGCTCGGTTAGCCTTCCTCTCGGACCGTTTTTCAAGGCTGGCGTGGGTGACAAACTAGACCAGGTTGCCAGAATCATTGCCACGGGCAGTGAAGCCGATCGTCAGGGAAGAGATGGGGGAGTGGAGGCATTGCTTGGATCATCAGTAGCTCCAGTTGATGCCAGGGCCCTCCAGTTTTGTCCACTGAGACCGTTTTACCGTGGAGAGGTTGTAGGATGGCACAGAGATGGACAACAGTCGCAGCTCAAGTATGGTCGTGTTGTGGAGGATATTAGAGCCCCCGCAGGACAGCCGTTGTTTCGGATCCACGTCGAGACCAGTCCGGGACAAGTGGAGATTCTCTCGTCATCCAACATTTTATCTTTCAAGAGCACGGGTGGAGGCTCATCCGCTTCAAGTGAACAGGCAGCCGTTGTTCTTGGTGCTGCGGGCGAAAGTAGTGAGGAAACAACGATGGGAAAGGGCCCAGAAAACTTATCAACCTCCCGGCATGAGGTAAGTTTCTTCTATTCTTTTTCTTCTTCGTTTCTACCTGTACAACTCATAACTTGGAATGATTCATTGCAGAAAAATGAAGCAGCCATTCTTGGGGTTGCAGGCTACGCACAGGCGATTACAGACATTCTAACTTCGCTAGGACTTCCTCTCACCCTCGAGAGACAATCGCTGCTCGAACACACGCTCTCTCTCCAGGAGCAGCTCAATTCCTCTAACGCATCTCTCCTCTCGGAGCAAGTAAGTTTTCATTTTCTTTCCTTCTTGTTGGTCGTGCTCACAAACGGCTTTGCTACTCAGGAACGAGCAGATGCCGCAGTGCAAGAGGCCGAGACGCTCAAGTCGTCGTGGACATGTAGGATATGCCTGAACTCCGAAGTGAATTCCCTCCTCGTCCCCTGCGGCCATGTCCTGTGCCATAGCTGCTGCTCCTCGCTCTCAAGGTGCCCGTTTTGCCGCCAGTTTGTCACCTCCATCCACCGAATGTTTCGACCATAGCTCATCAGTGTAAGCTCTCTCGTCCTGTTTTTTTTTTCATCTGTTATTGGTTCTTTCAGCTCGTCGCGATTGGAGACTCCAGCTTGGCCCGAGAATAGTGCACACGAAAGCTCAAAGTCACAGTCCGTGAGCACCTTTTTTTTCTTTCCGGCTGTCTTGAAACTGCCTTGACAGTTAGTCGTTAGGTTTCATGGCCGCATGACAGTCCCAGCATCATCTTCATGGATTCGTTGGATCTGGCGATTGATCGTGATCCTGGCCGAGAGAAAGGCACCTCCATCCGTGCTTGACGAGAGCAAAAACTATCGACTGCGATGGCGCAAATGTTCTACAACCAGCTGGGAAGCACAGGCCTCAAGGTGAGCGCTCTTGGCTATGGATCCTGGGTGAGCTTTGGGAATCAAATGGAGACCAAGGAAGCCAAGGTGCTCATGGCCAAGGCCCGAGAGTTTGGCATCAACTTCTTCGACAGCGCCGAGGTGTACGCCAATGGCCGGGCCGAAGAAATCATCGGGGAAGTTGTCAAGGAACTTGGGTGGCGGAGATCAGACCTGGTGATCACCACCAAAGTTTTCTGGGGAGGAGCCGGTCCCAACGACAAGGGTCTCTCGCGGAAGCACATAATCGAGGGGACCAAAGGCTGCTTGGAGAGGCTCCAGATGGACTACGTGGATATCATGCTGTGTCACAGGCCGGATACCTCCACTCCGATCGAGGAGACAGTGAGAGCTATGAACTACATTGTGGACAATGGCTGGGCCTTGTACTGGGGGACGAGCGAGTGGAGTGCTCAGCAGATCACCGAGTGCTGGGAGATTGCCAGGAGGCTGGGGATGATGGGGCCGATGGTGGAGGAGCCCGAGTATAATCTTCTCGCGAGAGAAAAGGTTCGTGGAGGTGGTGTTTTCTCATCTTGTGTTCTCCAACAGTCTGGTTTCCCAAATAGGTGGAGGTGGAGTTTCTTCCGTTGTACCAAAACTATGGTTTGGGAGTCGCGACTTGGAGTCCATTAGCATCGGGGGTCTTGACGGGGAAGTATAGCAAAGGAGTGATCCCAGCGGACAGCCGGTTTGCTCTCGACAACTACAGTGTAAAGTTGCTCCATTTGCGCTACAAAGTGTTTGCTTTGGAGTAATCTAACTAGTGCGATCATCGTGATTTTCCAGAACTTGGCGAGTCGATCTTTGCTTCCAGACGTCTTGGGCCGAGTTGACAACTTGAAACCCATCGCCAGAGAGCTGGGGATCTCACTGGCGCAGCTGGGGATAGCGTGGTGTGCCTCGAATCCAAACGTGAGCACTGTGATCACTGGAGCTACGAAAGAAAGCCAGGTACTACATTGTCTCACTCAAAGCTTTGTAGATCAAAGCTTGGATCTTTTTCTTTTCAGCTCGTGGAGAATGTCAAGGCGCTGGAGGTGATCCAGAAGCTAACTCCGGAGCTCATGGACAGAATCGAGTCGACCATTTTGAGCAAGCCAAAGAAACCCGAGGTGTTTAGATAGAACAGGCTTATATATAATACCTATCCTTTTCTTCGTTACGGGGTTTTAGGGTTCTTCGTTACGGGGTTTTAGGGTTCTTCGTGTAACTATGGAGCTGGAAGAGATCCAAGGCATCGCCTCCATTGCGCTGCTTCCATCCGGCTCTATCTCGGGTCACTTCGTCCACCCTCCATCGTCTTCATGCCTCGGTTTGTATGGAACAGGTAAGAGAAAAACCTTTGGGTTTTAGCGAAGACGATGATCCATTTCTTTTCTTCTTTGTCGCTCCTAGAAATCCCTTGCGCGCGAGAATGCAGCCGAGCGGAGGACTATCGTCTCATCAATCTCACGCTGCTGGACTACAGAGTATGGGATCGATCGATTTGTAGCACCGTTTTCATGGTTTTTCTTGTTTTTTTTTTTTCTCTCTCTTTTTTTCCAGACTAAGAAGGAGACGAGCGTGATCGTCGAGTGTAGAGGACAGGACGCTTCGAGGTTCCACAATGTGGATGATGTTCATGGGTGAGAAAATCTCTCTCTCTCTCTCTCTCTCTCTCTCTCTCCATCTTTCTTTGAGCTAAGCTGTGGTTTAATTGTTCCGATAAGGTGGGAAGAGGATGTGATCAAAGCAGCGAAGGCGAGCGATCCAAACAACCATCTCCAAATCTCTTTCGAGTGTGAGACTCTCAAAGCGGACGAGGACGCGGAGAGACACTTGCAAAGGTTTCTTCCAGCGCTCGCCAACAAAGGAGCTGTCGGTAAAGCTGCCACCTTTCTCACAAGCTATGGAAGCTAAAACCTTTGCTTCCGTTCTTTGCCTTGGCAGTAAACATTGGCACCATGAAGATCAAGGGTCTCGACCTGGAAGAACTCACGAGATCGTCCAACCAAGACGCTGTCACTGGCAAAGCATCCCTGCAACCAAACACTCCAGAGTCCATCGATCCAGAGTTCACGCTACACGACCAGGTGGTGGAAGTGAAAACGATGGAGCAACTCCAGCTCGATCCAAGCCCGCAAGACATGACGGACGAGATCGGCAAGCTGCTCGAGGAGGAGCTTCAAGCCGAGGGACTGGCCGATGCTCCAGTGGAGTTTTCATTCTCGTGGAAGGATCAACTCAACCCGCGGATCAAAGTTCCAAAGGAGGAGGAGGATCTGGACGAAGAAATGCCAGAAGAATCCCTGGCATCCAACACTAGCTAGAGTTACGTCAAAGATCGCCAAACTTTCCATCGATCTTATTCGTAGAAGAATCCAATCCAGTGTACACTTTTTCGCTCGTAAATCCACTCGAGCTCCTTGAGCTCTTATAGATCCACAAACTTATATCTTAGATCTATACAAACCGAAAAGCAACCGAAAACTTACGAGGATTGACGAGATTTTGTCACTCCAATGCAAGCGTCAATGAGATCATCGTCGTCGACAAAGTCCTGCGACAAGATCTGGAGATGATCACCCAGTCCCTTCTTGTAAGCCTGCGAGATGAAGAGCCGCGCTCTCGGCCGGATCCTGTTCGTCACCGGATAGACGCAAAGGATGGCGCTGGTCACCTGCGGCGTGCAAGTGTTCTCCACGCGATAGAAGTACTTTCGATCCTTGTTCGCCGGATGCTCTCCCAGATGCTTCATGTTCGCGTTGAACTTGGCGAGTGGAAGATCGGTGTCGGTCCAGTTATCCTTGAGGAAGGCCGAGCTGAAGAGCAAGCTCCCGGGCGATGGGGCCGCGGTCTTCCTCGGCTTCCAGATGCAAATCACTCTCTTGGGCAGGATCTCCTCGAGCGTCTTGTCGAAAACGTTGGCGTCGTGGGTGACGAGGTTGTCAGCTCCGATCTGGTCGACCAGCCACTTGTCATACTCGGGAGGATCATCGTAGCCAAACTCGGTCCTCACTTCCAGGATCACCACCTCGGACTTCGTCTCGGAGAGGAACTTCTTGAGGCTGGCGATGACAGTGTCGGCTTTGTAGCTCTTGAGAATGCCGTGGCAAACTCTTCCAGTGCTCTCCACCCGGATGTCAAACACGCGGACTCCCTGGCAGAGCTGCTTGTAGATCGAGAGGGACTGGCACTGCGCGAATGGCCGCGACACGCCATAGATTCCAATCTTGTCCGTGGCGGAGTCGTGAGTTCCCGGCCATAGCACGTCTCTCACCTTGATCCTTCCCAGCTCCAGCGTCGACATCCATTCCTTGTGGTTGTCGCTGCGGTAGTCCGAGCCTGGGAACTCGGTGCCCTCTTTCTTCTCCAGCTCGGTCAGCTCCTTGGCTTCCGCGATAGCGGCCTTCTCGGAGGAGATCCTTGCGCCCATCTTGCGAATCTCTCCCTTCTCTTCTCTTGGGAGGAAATGGGAGATCAAAGCATGGGAGATCTAGCGCTAGAAAACTACGCTAAGGGTGCCCACATTCTTACATTCGCGCGAAGAGGACAAAGCTTCTCCAGCTCAGCATTGGATAAGTGGCCTTGAACGTAGATCGTATGTAGCTGTGACTTGCTGGCCATACAGCAAGAAGCACGTGGGCACCCTTGGTTGGACCACGTCTTATAAGCTTTGACAGGCTCATTCATACTGTTTACAAGGCTCCCAAGAAGCATGGATGAATTCAAGCAAGCTGCCCTGATGATCATCTCTGCTGTTCGGCAGCTAATGTCTTCTGCGGCATCCCCCTCTGGTGTGCCCAATGTCCACTCTCCTCCAGATCTCTTGTGCTTTTGGGTGACCCCTTGTGTAGTGGTTGATGTAGTGATGCCACCAGCATGCATTATGTTGTGGTCTTGGTGTGTGAGTTCATTCTCCTGCAAGAATTTGCACAATTGGATCATCTATCTTGCATAGCCAGGGATGACATGGAAGGTTGGAACCTGAAGGGATAGGTGGCCTTTCAAGGTGTTTATATGTAGCACAATCATTGACAATGTGGTTTACATCTTCCACCCTCTCAACACAGGTGGGGCAGAATTGCAGTTCTCACTTGGTGGGACATCTTAGTTCTTTAGTGGGAATTTATATGAATAACAAACTCAAAACGGTGGGAAAAAAACTAGTAGACAACCTCATCCTCCAGATAAAGCCAATAGAGAATGTGCACTGGTTGTCCATGGGTTGATGCTGTCCCATTCAGTAACTTCCAAGAATCCTCTGAACTGCTGATGCATGTTGACTGTGGTAATGTATTTGTCTGAGAGTGGGCACTCCTGTTGCACCCCGTGTCTCCACCTGAACTCATCTAAAACATCCGCTTTGATATTTCAGTAGAGCTCTGGATGATCAACTCTTGAGGGATGTCAAGCTCATGTAGGCGTTGAAAGAGTTCGCTATGTGAGACTTGATCAAATGTCTTGACAATGTCAACCTAGCATGCATATATTAATTGAGATGGAGTGTGACAGAGCGCGACCCTCACCATGATCAAGTGGTGGATACACAAATAATGCAGGTGGGAGCTGGTGGCTGGCTGCTCTACATACACCCTCGCCACTCTGTCCATGTGGCAAGTAATTTCTCGACTACCTTTGCCAAGAGCTTAGCCAAAATTATGGTGATTGTGCACTAGTTGGTCGGGCATAATGGATCTCCAGCCTTCTGGATTGGTACCACATGATTGATGCTCAGGAGTCCGAGCTCCAGGATCTTATTGAATAACTGACAGCAATTAGAGCTAACCAATGCATTGAATGTTTGGAGAAGTTCAGCTGTGAAGCAGTAGACATCAGCCACACATCTTCAAGAAGTTAGATTGAATCTATCTATTCTGCCATGATCTCAAAATGCCAAACCATTGGAATTGTAAAGGCAGAGGATTATTCAATTCATACAATTAGCTGGATATATGTGTCCATGTCCTTGACAATCACTAGTTCACACTGCTTCCAGAAGATGCAATATGCTCTTGAAGGTTGGTGTCACACCTGCCAGACTTGCCGAATGTTCATGAGCTTGGTAAGGAATCTAGCTCAAGCACTTTACTTTTTCTGAAAGTGTAGCTGTAATAGCATCATACAGAGTTCAACATTCTTCATTCGACATGGCTTTTGGTGGTAAGTGAGTTATAATTTAAACAATAAACCCTTCTTAATCCATTCCATTTAATATTAATCAGAAGAATTAAACATAGAAAGTGAAAAGAATTTAAAATCAAGAAGGAATAAATCTGTGTGTATATGGAATATGGAAATAAAATACAGAAATATGCATATTAATAAATACAAAAACCCTATCTTATATACAGGAGTAAGAGTTTTGGATTGAAGTCAATTCAATGGCTATCAAAATCCTACTATACTAATATTAGTGTATGGCCATTTATATTAGTATGTGGCATTATAATTGTATAATTGGACTTCACATTTTCCCCTCCTCTCGAAAGGATAAAAGGCAATTAAGGTTCTTTGGTTGATAGAACAGGATCTAGAAGAACATTAAGAGGAGGCACCAATGGATTTATATATGGTATTAATTGTTTATGATCCCTTTCTACAAAGCATTTCAACCATTACACATGCACAATTTTTAGAGGATTAGTCTATTGAATGTTATGCCAAACTTTATAAATCTATTGTCTAACTTGCCATAACATTTAATATAGTCTTTTCCACTAAGCAAAAAACCCTTTAGACAAGCCATGTACCATAAGATTAGGAAAACAAACAAACACCAAGTCATCCACTTTATACTCCATAAATAGATGATGATGAGAGTTGTAGTGCTATTGTTGTCCCACTTGTACGTAGCCTAATTGTTCAGTAAATTTTGCTTAGATAAGTGGAAGAATGCTTATCAAATATTGATCCCAGGATTTAACATTGTTGTAACAGTCACGAAGGCAAATTTAACTCTGTTAGTAGTATTTGATCATGATTATATAAGATTTTATATGATAAAGCACCAATAAAACTCTATACCCTTATAATATATGTATACTGAAAAAACGGTAAATAACTATCCCAATTCGAATGCTAAAAGTTCACATACTTTGCAATCATCCCTTTGAAGGTCCAAACAAGCCGTTACACTAAACCATCTGTCTAGCATGATAGCACTTGTGAAAGTGCAACATATCCCTAACTAATGTTAAAATGTGAAATGCTTTAGGCATAAATGTAGGACCATTATCTGAGAGAATCTGCTCCAGATATGAATGTTGAAACATCACTCGATTGAAGAAGAAATATCTTATAGCAGTTGCAAATGCACTAGCAAGCACACCAACTTTCACCTACTAAGTCAAATATTCAAAAGCAATAATAGTATACTCATTGCCAATAGTCGGCAATGAAAAAGTCCCCATCATATCAATTGCCACAAACTCAAATGGATGGGAAATTATAATTGACTCTAACCATCTTTTTGCAGCACGAGAGAGAAAGTTTTATAAATTTAGCACCAAATGTAACTATGCACATACAAAAAAATATCATGTTGCATCTTCAACTAATAAAAAGACTTATATAGCTTCTCGATTACACAACAATGTCCCATTTGTCTACCTAAAATAGGAGAATTATAGTAGGTATGGAGAAAACATGGAATAAATATTCAAAGGCACCACCAGCTATAAATGATCATTAGAATCCATCCCCACAAAATAAAAAAGGTCATCCTTAAGGTGATATTGAGAATGTAAATGTCAAAATGGCAAGTCATCAGTAAATGATGCAAAATTCTCAAATATATTCCAAAGTCTTTGGATCCATGGGTTAAACTTTTAAGCCTCATAACCCTCGTCAAGAGAAGTTAAATCCTGCTTCATACCTTATAGACATTGAACATCAAATACGGTAACTGTGACAACACGAAATCTTTGTCTAAAAAATCCATAGATACTAAAACAATAAGCTCATCAGAAAAGTGAATAAAGGAATAAAATAGAAATATAGGAAAAAACAATGGGGAAACAAAAGTGATGGAAACAGAAGTAAAAGTAGAAGGACGAAGAGAAACAAAAGTAAGAGGAATGGAAGAAATATAAAAAACTATAAGATAAGGGGTGAAGCCTCAAAATCACGTTTGGCATGAAGGTGCTGCAATTAATTTATACCAAGGATGAGGTCAAAAGTTTGATTCAACACTATATGTAATAACTAAAGCTTAAGTTCTAGATCAGTGACATGCACAATTAAATCTACCCTATTCCATACACATACGTGTGTATAGTCATTGCCAAAAAGAATGAAAATTAGCTCTACTATATAATACAAATGTAGACGAGAACATGTAGTAATAGGTCGAACAATAGAAGATAAACTCGAGGCTATATCAACCAACATGAAGAGAATAATAGGAAACCTTTTGTTATAAAAACAAACTTGGAAATTAAACA